GGGCTGAGAATTGTAGGGCCGATGCCTTGTCAAAATTGGTGTTCATGGGAATAGATGGGCTTGATAGGATAGTCTACGTCAGAATTGTAACCGAGCCAAGCATCAATCAGACCATAGGCGTTATGGATATTGATAATGAGCCATCATGGATGGACCCAATAGTGGACTTCATAAAACATGGCCGCCTTCCAGAAGATCCTCGGGCAGCGAGAAGCATCCAGTCCAAAGCTCCGAGGTATTGCATGATTAAAGGTGTTTTATTTCGCAGGAGCCTCACACTTCCATAACTCAGATGCCTTAGGCCTTTCGAATCATCCCAGGCCCTAGAAGAAGTTCATGAAGGTGTATGTGGGAACCATCAAGGAGCTTGGGCATTAGCCTTCAAGCTCATAAGGTATGAATATTATTGGCCTACCATGAAGAAAGACGCCCAGGAATATGTCAAGAAATGTGACAAGTGCCAGAGATTCAGCAATATCATCCACTCTCCCGCAAAAGACCTCACTAGCATTAGTTGCACGACCCCGTTTGAGCAATGGGAAATTGACATCCTTGGTCCCTTTCAAATAGCTAGGGGCCAATTGAAGTTTGTGGCGGTGGCTGTAGAGTATTTCACTAAGTGGGTGGAGGCCGAGCCTTTAGCAACAATTTTAGAGCCTAAGTTGAGAAGTTTCATTTAGAGGTCCATCATATGCAGGTTCAGGATACCGAAAGTCCTCATAACTGATAATGGCAGGCAGTTTAACAATGCACAATTTAAAAACTTCTGCTCTAATCTGGGGGTCGATCACCGGTTGACATCAGTTTCCCATCCTCAAAGTAATGGTCTTGCCAAAGTGACCAATCGAATTATATTGCAAGACCGCCGTACAAGGATCGAAGATGCAAGAGGTTCCTGGTCTGATGAGTTATCTTCCATACTTTGGACATATAGAACATCCCACAGAACCGCTACGAGGGAAACCCCCTTCATGTTGGCCTTCGGTATTGAGGCCATCATCCCTGTTGAAGTCAGGTTGTCCAGCCAAAGAAGACTTGAGCCCGAAGATGCAGGGCGCACCACTGAACATCTCGACCTCTTGGAAGAAGTTCGTGATCAGGCAGCTTTAAGAATGACCTCTTACCAAAATAAAATTGCAAAGTATTTCAATAAAAAAGTAAGGACGCGGAGATTCAGAACCAGAGATCTTGTGTTAAGAAGGGCCAAAGCAGCAGGTCATGCCCCGGGCAAGCTAGGACCAGTCTGGGAAGGGCCCTTCGAAGTCATACGACAGCTTCAAGGAGGTGCGTACAGTTTAAGGGATACATCAGGAAGACCACTTCCGAGACCACGGAATGCCAAGAATTTAAAAATATATTACAGGTAATCAATTTCTAGTAGTCAGGCCTGCGTGCCAAGTCTTATTTTTTGTTAGTCAGGCCGTGTGCCAAGTTTCACGTTTTCAGTTGTCAGGCCTACACGCCAAGTCTATTTTCAAAGTACAATAAGAATTAAGCAATTCATTGAAATGTGATCTCGCTATCAAAAGCCTTGCCCCTAGCAAGCAACTAAAAAGCCTAGCCCCTCGCAAACACCCAAAGCCTTGCCCCACGCAAGCACCTAAAACGCCTTGCCTCGTGCAAGCACTCAAAGCCTTGCCCGGCGCAAGAACCTAAAAAGCCTTGCCCCGTGCAAGCACTAAAAGCCTTGGCCCGCGCAAGCACCTAAAAATCCTTGCCCCTCGCAAGCACCTAAAAAGCCTCGCCCTGTGCAGGCACTTAGAGCTTTGCCCCGCGCAAACACTCAAAGCCTTGCCCCACGCAAACACCTAAAAAGCCTTGCCCCGAGCAAGCACCCAAAGCCTTGGCCTACACAACCACTCATAAAAAAAATTGACCATACAACATACTCGAGCACAAATATTTATTGTAATGCTCTGTGGCGTATAAAAGTCCTCCATCTTTTTTAGGCAAATCCCCGAGGACGTCCGTGAGTAAATTACTTCTCTTTAAAGTTAATGTGCTCGAGTTGTGAAGTCCTCGAGTATATATCAATCCCCAAGGACGTTTCATGGGTAAGTTACTTCTTTTTTAGAGTTAATGTGCTCGAGTTGGGAAGTCCTCGAGAATATATCAATCCCCGAGGACGTCGCATGTTTAAGTAACTTATTTTTGAGTTAATATGCTCGAGTTGTGAAGTCCTCGAGTATATACCAATCCCCGAGGACGTTGCATGGGTAAGTAACTTCTTTTTTAGAGTTAATGTGCTCGAGTTGTGAAGTCTTCGAGAATATATCAATCCCTGAGGACGTTGCATGTTTAAGTAACTTCTTTTTGAGTTAATATGCTCGAGTTGTGAAGTTCTCGAGTTTATAACAATCCCCGAGGATGTCACATGGGTAAGTAACTTCTTTTTAAGAGTTAATGTGCTCGAGTTGTGAAGTCCTCGAGTATATATCAATCCCCGAGGACGTCGCATGGGTAAGTAACTTCTTTTTGAGTTAATATGCTCGAATTGTGAAGTCCTCGAGTAAATACCAATCCTTGAGGACGTCACATGGGTAAGTAACTTCTTTTTTAGAGTTAATGTGCTCGAGTTGTGAAGTCCTCGAGTATATATCGATCCCCAAGGTAATTACTTCTTTTCAGAGTTTGTTTGCTCGAGATGTTTGAAGTCTAGGGTCGAGATGACTAATTCACAGTTCATAACGAAAAGGCAATGACCATTCAATAACAGCAAAACATTGTACAATTCATTGGGCAAAAAACCTGTTCAAAAAATTACAAAGCAAAAGATTGGGGAGGGGCACTATCCAATATGGCCAAGAGGAGGGTCGAGGTTGTGGATGTTGATCTGCACATTGTCCTCAAGGCCCTCCTCGTCGTCGTCTCCACCCGATCCTCCTCCATCTTCCGAACCCGAGAGCTCCAAGGTATCAGCGATGGAAGGCACGGTCTTCAAGTCATTCGGAGCACGTCGGATAATTTCAGACGGAGGAAGGCCCGGGCCTCCTTTAGAGCGTGGAAGTATGCCCCCGACGCATACTCACCCTTGATCTTGTCACAATCCTCAGAGGTTTGAAACTCCTCCCAGGCCTTCCCCTTGACATCCGTGAGCTCGCGCTCAAACTCCTTCATCTTTTGGATAAGCTCGAGCCTCGTACCCTCGACCTCATCCTTTGCCACATTAAGGTCATCCCTGGCCTTGGCAACCTCCCTCTTCGCGTCATCACGCTCCTTCAATAAAAGCTCAACCTGATCCTCGAGGTTAAGAATCCTCTTGTCCTTGGAGGCCATGGAGGTCTCCACCCCAGCCGCTCTCTTGGCTTCCTCGATCCCTTGAAGAGAAAGCCCTCGAACTACACTCAACATCTGAAAAAGAGAATACAAAGTATTAATCTCAATGAAGAAACTAAAAGCTGAAGTCAAATGTTCGTGGATTACCTTCATAGTAAGACGCTCGAGGACCTTTACCCCATCCTCGAGCTTCACCTCTTCCTTGTATTTGTTCACAAGATCAGGAACAAGGTAGCAATGCTCAAAGTCCCCGATCAAAGTCGTGTCCTCCTCGAGGTCGACCACCTCAGAAGGAGGCCGAAGAGTAAGAGATCTTTGGCTCCGCTGCAAAGGGCTCGAGACTTGAGGTTGTGCTCGAGATGTTTCGCTAGGCCCCTCACACTTCGCTCAGGAGTGCCTCGAGGCCTTTTCTTGCCCTTCTTCTTCGCCGGGGGTTGCCCCTGTGGGTGGGCATCAGCCCTTGTGCTGACAAAATTCTGTAGGGCTCGAGGGTCAAACGACATACCTGCAAGTAGCGATGTCAATGGGCCGAGCCAAGCCGGCTCGGCTCGTTACCCTACGAGCTCGGCTCGTGCTCGGGCTCGTTGCCCAACGAGCTCGTGGGCAACGAGCCTGAGCCGAGCTCGGCTCGTCAAAAAAAATGAGCTCGGCTCGGCCCACGAGCTCGTGGCTAGTGGGTGGGGACGAGCCGAGCTCGGCCCGTGAGCTCCTTTTTTAATTTTTAATTTTTNNTAGGGGCCCTTTTTTTTCCTTAAAAAATTTTTTTTTTTTTTTGGGGCGAGCCACGAGCCGTTCTGGTCACTGAAATAATTTTTTTTTTTGGACGAGCTACGAGCTCGGGCTCGTGGCTGCTCGGCCAGCGGCTCGTCAATCAATTCATAGGTTCGGCTCGTTGCTTAGGCTCGTTTTTTACGAGCCCGAGCGGCTCGTGGCTCGTTTTAGGCGAGCCGAGCCCACGAGCCGGCGAACTACTCGGGCCCATTGCCACCACTACCTGCAAGATTACAACACCTTAGAACGAGCACAAGGTCAAGCTATTTTGCAAAAAAAATAAGGGAACATCCCTACCCTCGACGCCTCTAATATCTGCCAGGTCTATAACCTCTTCCCCAATCTACTTCATCGTCGAGAAAAGGGGGTTGAGCCCCACCAGCATCCTCCTATGCTCCTCCAACACATCTGGATACACCTGGCCCTCACAGAACTTCTCGGGGTTGGGGATTCCCCAGTCAGGCCAGAAAGGAAGGTCGGGCTCTTGCGCTATTACATAAAATCACCCCTTTAGAGAACTCGCCATCCTCGGAACCTTAAAACACCCTATCGTCGAGAGACAATCAAAGCAAGTATATCGAGGATACTTCTTAAGCTCGAACACTAATTTACAGAGGTCAATGTTGGGCTCGATGTCTAAGTACCTACAAGCTATAAAAAAATATACGAGCATTATCCAGGCGTTGGGCACTAACTGCCCCAGGCACATGGAGTGCTCGACCAACAAAGCAATGAAAAAGGGATGAAGGGGCCACCTAAAGTCGGCCTTAAGGGTTTCCCTAAAAATAACACAACTCCCTTCGTCGAGTTCGAACAATTCTATCCTCGGGCCTAGGAAATTTAACATGACAAATAGGCATAATACCATATTCCCTTGCCACAGCAATAGCTGAGTGCTCTTTTAGCCTACAAGGTTCATCGGGAAATTCGAAGATCATATTATGATACCAATATTGGTATACTCGAGGACTATTTCCCCGAGGACTCCATAGGTGCTCCGCTCACTTTTTTGGCACATGTCCTTGAGATCTTTCGAGTCCTCGAGGTATTTTGGTCCTCGAGAATATGTCCTCGGAACATATTCCATTACCAGATCTTCTAGACCTATGTGCCTCACAAACGAACACCTAAACACCCAAGAACTCTATATCAACTCTTACACCACTTGTCAGACAATTCCATTACGAGTAGGACATTCCTCTCAAACAGGACTCCATTGGATAAAAACATCCAATTGGCACAATCCTACTAGGAGTATACTACCTACCTCTATAAATATAGAACCTTGGGCCACTATTCAAGTACGTTTTCTCATTATTCTCTAGTATATAGTTTTACGCATATAATTCCCTTTCTGACTTAAGTATCGGAGGGGCGACGAGAACATACCTCGTTGCTTTTGTTTCAGGTATTGGAATACTACGATCGTGCTCAATCAAAATCATCAAACTCGAAAAATCAACAGGTACGATTTTTGATAGCATCAAGTGCTAATTTTTTCTTACGCTCGTTGAAAAATATCTTCCCTCTCTTGATGCATGAGTAAGCCTCGACTATCGTACTACTTTAAGTAGTCAGGGTTTTTTTTCTGTCGAATCGAGAAAACCGTTTCATAAAAAGAAAGGTTCGCTTATTATTCCAACCTTCTCACTTTTCATTTTGATCCATAAAAAAATAGTTTACTCTACTGTACTTATAAGTATTAAGCTTATAATCCCATACGCGGCAAAATTAACATGTTGCCCCACAGCGTTCATATTACAGAAAGTGCAAAACAGCTGGCGGGTTTTAACAGTTGTCTTAAAATAAGTCCATCAATTTCCCATATAATTCAATTCACTCAAGAATAACTTTTTTACAATCATTGGGCTCTTATCTTTGATCTGCATCTGAATCTGAATCTTCTCACAATTCTACACCAGAAAACCCGTACTTCCAAGTCGAATCCCATTTTCTCGATCATTTCTCCAAGAATTTCCAATGAGAATTAGAGGAAAGTCATCTGCAAGTTCCGTTTCTTTTTCATCGTTATGTTCTTCGCCTGCTGCATCTTCTTCCCCACCTTCTTATTCTAGCTCATCAATCACCATGAATTCTTCAGTTTCATCTCAAGATTCGTCAAGTTCATGTCCATTCTCATCAACTTCGATCGTTACTAGGCGCTGCCACGGCCTCGATCTACTAGTGAAGGCGATTCATCAAGTGACTGCTGGGTCTGTTGTGGGATACCCGTACAGTCAACGACGCGTGACGATCAGAAGAAGAAGAAGAGAATTGAAGTTCGATGGGTTTACAATTGCTGAATTGTTGAAGGAAGAACGTGAATCGAATGAGAAAAAGAAAGTGAACAAAAAGGGAAAATCAGTTACGAAGAGGCACAAAAGAGAGATGGTATCATGATTCCGTGCTTCAATCAACAGATCTGCCATTGATGATGAAATTGAAATGGGTTTGTGATTTTCTATACTATTTATCTGGTTACAAATTTTTGTGATCTTAGCTTCTATTATGTAGTATAGATTCACAAAAATTATAATTTTAGTTCTCTTGTTTTATGGATCAGCTCTCTTCTTGAATTGCTTTAGATCAATGAGATAATGAAATTTTTTGAGCCATTTTAGGTTCAGTTTGAATTTTCATTTTCACTTTCACCACATCGATCATATGAGAACTTGTGTCTTCCAATTGAGAGATTTTCTCGGGGACTGATTAGAATTTATAATTCCATTTTACGAGTTTTTTGTAGAACGTTAACATACATTGATCCAACCGATTTGTGGGTTGTGCTTTGGATAGGAACTAAGAAAGGATTTATAACTAATACCCTTGAAATAGACATTTTTAAAAAGTTCAAACAAAAAAAAATAAAAAATAAAAATCAATTGAAGGCAAATTGTAAGGTTGGAGGACAGTTAGAAATGAATGGTGAAGTGTAGAAACAGAAGGCGCAATGGACGGGCATCCCTTTACAAATCCTTCCATTGTAACCCCTCCAAAGTCTAGTCTTCTCCAACTGGTCGATTTGGTGTGTCATTCAACAAAGATTATTCCTTTGCCACCCCAACCCGGCCCATTACACCACCATTTCACGGCGTCTGGCCTGGGCGGTTGAAAGCGTATCCGCCCTGGTCGACGATCAACGTCTCAAATGACGTGTGAAAACTAGATTTATTCGATAAATAAAAGCTTACCTTTTCACCATCTGCATTGTTTAATTTCCCTTTGAATTCTCTCTCTCCAATTTGAAATTTGGTTTGGAGAACAAAGTTGAGATGGGAGAGCCATGGGATCAAGAGAGGCCTCTTTATGAGTTGGAAACGGAGGAGCTGAAGTGTTTAGAGCACGTGCCGCCGTTCTGGAAGACTCCCAAGTCAAAAAGGAGATTGTCCAAGCAGCTGTCTCTGTGTATTGCCCCGCGAAATGTTGCATGGGAGAAGCGCCGCCAACAGTTTCTCCGGCAAGAGCAGAGGAGAAATGGCATTCATGAAACCGATGATTTGACGGATGAGGATCTCAATGAGTTAAAAGGATGCATAGAGCTCGGGTTTGGGTTCAATGAAGAAGATGGACAAAGGCTATGCGACACGATCCCTGCCCTAGACCTTTATTTTGCGGTGAACCGCCAATTCTTGATGAGTCCCATCCCGAGCCCCGCCAGCAGCCGCTCAGAGCCATCACTCAGAGGCCCTCCATCGCCCTCTTCCGTGTTGGTTGGAGGCCGGTCCTCCTCTACTAGCCCGAGGAGCGATTCTGATTGGAAGATTTGCAGTCCGGGTAGGATTAATGAAATACTTTAACATGGTATCAAATGCGACGAAAGTTATAAACTCAAGGACCGACTAGATTTCTGATTAAAAATAATTTCATGGTGCAGGTGATGATCCTCGACTGGTGAAGCGAAAGTTGAAGCATTGGGCACAAGCAGTGGCCTGTTCTGTTAAGCAATTCTCATGAGCAAATATCAAATTAATTTGTACAGAGATCAGACTGAAATTACATTGTTACTTATATTGGATGTCACTCCAGAATGTCGGCTTAATTCGCAGGTAAAGCCAAGCATGGTGGAGTAGCGAAACTAAAAGCCAATTCAGAAGGTAGACGGGATAATTGTGAATCTAGTCGTGTCAATACGGGCAATGCATAGTAGTTATGTTCGAAAATTATCGAACTATGCCTGTAAGCAAAGTTTTGATGTTATTAGATGGCGACCTTTATCCAAGAGTAGCCCAAAAAGGTTGTGGATTATTTACTATAGAATATAAATTGTACAAATATTTACAAGTTGTTAAGACATTCCTTTTGGAAACTATAATAAGTTTATTGAGTAGTGATGGTGAAGCTAACGTCAATTTCACTTTTCAATCAAACCAATCTTTCAGCTTGGCCACTTGACCGAATGAGGGTTGAGATGTTCTCTCTTCGTATACCAAGAGAAATCTCATAATTTAAATCCCCATAATTAATTTCTCTCAATAACACAATTCTAAAATCTTTCAAGTTAATCTACAATATATAAAAGAATAATACTATCTTGCACTAGTAGTATTGAACACAGATAGTGCTAAATAGCATTGCTTTATATAAAAAGTATACATATGCTTACATTTTAATGTTTATTGTCAATGATATGTACAATTGTTGTACAATTTGACCACCCACGACCTTATGCTCGAGGTCACGATAACTTGGAGCACTATCATTGGGTTAGAACATCCTCGGGTTTATGTGGTCGGGCTCTCTCCTTGGGCCGAAACATAGAGCTTGGGCTTGACGCCCTTAGACATCTCACGTCCCCCACTATCGTTTCCTCTTTTTATTTTTATTTTATTTCTGTCATGTCCCAATTTTGGTATCCCCAATGATCACTCCCCAACGAGCGAGTTCGAGGCATTCTAACCTATATGTCTTTGGTCGTCGAGGTTGAGGTTCTTTGGGGTGGTGTGCATAGCCTCGAGGAGGTGATTCAGGTCCATTAATGAAACCACTTTTGTTGTTAATCAGATAGGACTCTACCACTAGAGTTTTGTACTTATCCAAACACCCTATTTCAACTCCAAACAAATTACAACTTCTAGGTATATATAAGACTCCCAAACACTTTGCAACTCTTTAATCAGATAAGAATGCTTAACTAATCTATCCTACTAAGAGTGCACTTCTTAATTTTATTAGGAGTGTACTATCTACCTCTACAAATACAAAGTCTTTGATCATTATTCAAGTATGTATTTACATTTAATTTATAACCTTACGCTTATATTTTCCTCTCTCGCGCATTTATTTCAAGTACCAAAGATTCTATTCGTTTGCTTCTTTTGTCCTCAAGCACGGGAAAGAGCAGGTGCAAATTTTTTGTAGCATCAGTCAACGATACCTTTAAAGTACATTATTTTTAATTAATATATTCCACTAAATACAAAAATTAGTAATTATTAATAGACAGTTAATATAAGTTATAATAATGCTACATATGTATAATTAACTTGTAATGGGATAGGCTATTAATTTGATTAATATTAAATATATAATTCAAGAATAACTAACTATATATACAATTAACTTTTATTCTGAAATTCTCATTGGAGATTGTTGACCTCGCAAATTGGACCCTCCACGTGACCAATCGATAGTTATTCCATGTATTCCTTCCTACACACAGTTAACGCACGATCAGATGCACACGGTCAGAACCAACGGAGGAGATGGTGGCGGTCGCATACACTCCGACGGTCAAGTTAGCCTCAGGTGGTCGGAACAATACCAAGATTTTGCTAAATAAAGGTGAGGAAAATATGTATTTACTTGTTATGGAAAGCTATATTGTAAGAGTTTGATTACCTTTGCCTCTTGTCAAACATTGGGTATTTATAGGCGAGGAGATCCGTTGGATGTGGGACACGGGTATGCATCTGACGGTGTGAGGCGTCTGCTCATAGGCGTCAATCAGCCGCATCTATAGAGGGGCGGGTAATTACTTCTCTCGAGTTGGGTTGACATAAAGTTGATACGTCACATCAACTAGGCTCATGGAGACGTCAAATCAATTGAATCTTGGGGACAGAAAGGATCTTGACATAGATCTCTTTCTGAAATTGACGGCGGATCCTCTAGCAGAGAACGTCGGCTTGAACAGCGCTTCGACTTCAGGGGTGAGGGCGCCTCGGTCAGTTCGGTAGATTGTCTGTGTCTTGCGGTGTGTTAGCGGATGGTGGCTCCACTTCGGAACCACTTCGGGTAGATGTCGCACACCTTGTACGACTTGGTTGTGGAATTTTCGAAGTATTTTAGATGGGGGCGTAACAGTGGTCCCCCCAAGTTCAGGTATGAATATTTATATCATGGGTGGACTTGTTTTCCCTATCAGGTATGTCCGCCTTGGGATAGGGACCACGATTTGTGAGGGCTTATGGGTCTTTTTTCTGTGTTCACCGAAGCGTTGACCACAGGCAGATGCGCTAAAGATTTATTATTGAGTAAGGGGAAAACTTATCCGAGGCCGATGTGCTGCCAACTGGACTATGCGCTGGGAGATGGCTAAAGTTTTGTAAAGCTTAAGAGGGAACACAGCCTCCGAGGTGATGACCCACAAGGGGGCTCCGCATTAGATGCGTCTAAACTTTGTAAAGCTGTGTGAAGAGCTCATCTGCCATCGATACATTGACCCACAGGGGACGACGCATTGGGAGATGGCTAAAGCTTTGTAAAGTTTAGGAGGGAACGCAGCTTCCGAGGCGATGACCCACTGGAGGGCTCCGCATTAGATGCGTCTAAACTTTGTAAAGCTGTGTAAAGAGCTCATCTGCCACCGATGGGCTGACCCACAGGGGATGACGCATTGGGAGATGGCTAAAGCTTTGTAAAGCTTAGGACGGAATATAGCTTCCGAGTCGATGACCCACAGGGGGCTCCGCATCAGATGTATCTAAGCTGTGTGAAGAGCTCATCTGCCACCGGTGCGTTGACCCACAGGGGACGACACATTGGGAGATGACTAAAACTTTGTAAAGTTTAGGAGGAAACGCAGCTTCCGAGGCAATGACCCACGGGGGGCTCCTCATCAGATACGTCTAAACTTTGTAAAGCTGTGTGAAGAGCTTGATCTGAGGCGGACATCTCTGACTTTAAATGATTAGACAGCCGTCGCGTATTTCTAAGGCGACGGTTGGGCGAGATGCCCATTCCCAGAAAAGGCTGCTGCTGTCAGTTATTGTAGACAGCTGATGGTGATCGAGGTAACATGTTTCGCAAAAGCGTGAAGGTCACAACTAGATTTTAGGCGTATATCAAATCTGGTGATGTGAACCCCGTAGCAACGTTGACTACGAAACTCACAACGAGATTGACGAACCCAAGAAAGCCAAATTAATCCAAGAGTTTAGGATTAACCCAAAAGAAAGTCGAACCAAAAAACCCAACAAGAACGACGCTTGAAAGAACCCTTGATCACGCAATTCAAGAATTAAATCCGGTTGTTTGAACGTCACAAGTTAACACTTGATAAGTTCGAAATTGTTCAATGAAAAATGATGAAGAGAAGATAATACGGCTCACTTTAATTCAATATCAATAATGTCAAAAAAAATTTAATAATTGAATGGAAACTCCTATTTATACTAAACCTAAAAATTAGGTAAAAATCGTGCCAAAGTCGATTATAATCCCCAAAATATAGAAAAGAATAAAAAACTAATAAATTATGGAAAATTGCCAAAATTAGGAAATTCGCCAACAAAATGAACCATGCGGCCGCATGGTGTATTTTCATGCGGTCGCATGGTGTTTTAGTTGTGCGGTTGCACAGGCTTGTTTTCAACCTCCGATTTCGTCACTTGATAACAAATTGATCCGAGTTGATTCGGCCCTCGACCCAAACATGAAAGTTGCTCCATTTTGAGTGCCGAACATGGTTCCATCAATGGTTTCTTGAACGAGCAATTCCATCACTTGTTTCACTTGCTTTGCCCTTGATCGCTTCATTGGTCCGCCATCGACTATCAATGGATCTCGTCTCGCACTCGCCTACGTCGGGCTCGACTCCTGGATCATATCATCCCCTCCCTCTTCAAAAGGATCCGTCTTCGAATCTGAACCTGTATTAAACAGAGAGAGATCAGATACATTAAAAGCAGTCGAAACATTATACTCACCTGGAAGGTCCAACTTGTATGCATTGTCGTTTATCTTTTCAATCACTTGAAATGGACCATCGTCCCCGGTTGCAACTTGGACTTCCTTTGCTCCAAAAATCGCTCCTTCCTAAAGTGCACCCAAACCCAATCTCCTGGCTCGAATGTCACTCGCTTCCTACCTTTGTTTGCCTGCAACGCAACCAATTTACTTTTGTTTTCAATTTGCGCTTTTACCTTTTCATGGAGTGACTTAACCAATTCCGCCTTCTTTTTGCCATCTAAACTAATTCACAGGTAAATGAATTAAATCCAAAGGAGATAGTGGATTAAAACCATACACAATTTCAAATGGAGAATATGACATAGTAGAATGAACAGCTCAATTGTATGCCAACTCAACAAATGGTAGACACTCCTCCCAACTCTTCAAATTTTTATTGATTACTGTGCATAACAATTGTGTCATAGTTCTATTTACTACCTCAGTTTGCCCATCCGTTTGTGGGTGACAAGTTGTGGAAAATAGTAACTTAGTCCTTAACTTACCCTACAAAACTCTCCAAAAGTGACTCAAAAATTTGACATCCTGATCTGACACTATGCTTCTAGGACCCCATATAAACGCACAATCTCTTTAAAAAATAAGTCAGCAATGTTCGTGGCATCGTCAGTTTTGTGACACGGTATAAAATGTGTCATTTTACTGAACCTATTTACAACCACAAAAATAGAATCTCGACCTCTCTTAGTCCTAGGTAAACCCAAAACAAAGTCCATCGAGATATCAACTCAATACTCACTAGGTGTAGGTAAAGGTATGTACAAATCTTGAGGTAAAACCTTAGATTTAACCTTTTTACAACCTATGCATCGACTATAAATGCGCTCAACATCACTTTTCATCTTAGGCCAATAAAAATGCTCCTTCAATACATCTAAAGTCTTTTGAACCCCAAAGTGTCCCATCAATCCACCACTATGTGCCTCCCTTACTAACAACTCCCGAATAGAACAATTAGGAACACATAACCTATTTTCCCGAAATAAATACCCCTCATGCCTAAAGAACCTATCAACCGCTCCCTTAATGCATGACAAATAAATATCCGAAAAATCAACATCTTTTTCATACAATTCTTTAATATGTTCAAACCCAAGTAATTTAGAATCAAGAGTAGTTAGCAATACATACCTTCACGACAACGCATC